ATTTGGGTTTGACTTGGATTTGGATTTGGGTTTGACTGGATTTGACTTGGATTTGGGTTTGGGTTTGACTGGATTTGGATTTGGTGCACCCCTGTATTATATTGTTATTCTGTAATATTATATTTAATATAATTCTATTTCATTGCAATTGATAATATTAGAATCGAACTAAGAAATCATCGAAGGATATCGATTCGAGAAAAAAAACCATCTAATTATGTTTTAGTGTTGTTTCTTTTTAAACTAATTACAGAATAAACTTTCTCGCAAAGCTTATAAACGAAGAACTCGATATTTACCCATCATAAAGTATCCTTGAGAATCAAATGCTTTTCGCGTAGCTTCTTCTTTATTGAAATAATATTTGAATATTGCAGGACCTTTAACATATACTTCACCTTCCACTTTTCCATCATGTTCTATATAAACAATAAAAAGAATTTTCTATCAAATCATAAACTTCTTGTCTACAAACGTTTTTGAAAAATGTTCACTTTGTCATAAGTACCTTCTGCAACAATTTGATCATTATTATTTTCATCTTTTTGTACTAAACGTAGTGTTAAATCAGGCATTGGAAGACCAACTCGACCTAAGACATTTTAAATATTTTGTGATATGTTAATTTAATCCTTCGAGGACAAACGAAAGTAAATGTGAAAATGCTAGAAATGTAATAAAGTATGGTAGTTCGCGAACCAACTAATAACATAAAAACTTACATTACAATATTTATATAATTATATAGCATAGATCAGTCCTCTTCCTTCGACTAGTATGTGCATATACAACACAAGAGTTTTTCTATTAGTTGTATGAGGTACAAGTGATGGAAGATGTCTAGCAGTAAATCTAGTTGATTGATAAGTTATTGCAGAACGACATATTATAGATTTTGGAGCACAAAAGGTCTCTAAGATTTTTCGAATAAGTTATAAACGATGATCTACAAATTTAAGTTTCTTTTTTTCAGCATTTACTTTATGAAACAAATATGCGATGAACAATGACGAACTATACTGAGCTAAATATATGTATACTCCATCTAGACTACTTCATAACGTCTGTATGTGTGGCATGTATATTGCAATAAAATCTATAATAAAAATTCCAATTTTAGTGTATCTGAGGATTTCTCTATTTAGTCAAATTTCAAAGCCGTATATATACGGGGTCGGTCCTCAAAGGGTTAAGAAGATTTTTTGTTTTACCAGCTAACTTCTTTCCTTCAAGTTTATTTGATAGAACACGTCCTGTTTCTGATGAACCGAATTGTTCAACAATTTCAAAGCCTGTTAATTCATGCCATTTTTGAAATGTCGGTTCTGGTAAAGCTGATGAACCCGAAAGAAAAAGTCTATGATTCAAAAAAAAAACAAAAACTAAGAAAACTCTGTTAAAAAGATTAATTTTTTGTTTTTCCTACCGCATATGATCTGAACATAATCTTTTCACATCTTTTATTGATGAATTTTTGATATGTTCAATTAATTTTATATAAATTGTTGGTACAGCTGAAAAAACATTAATTGATGGATTACGATCATTAAGTAGATGATCCCATGTCTCAAAAACGCAATTTTTTTTTTTAATTATAAAAATAAAATTTATTATTTTATAATACTTCTTCAGCATCAAATTTATTCATCATGACTACCGTTCCACCAGCATAGAGTGGTGACATAACACAATTTATCATTCCATGAACATGATGAAGTGGAAGAACATTTAATATTGTATCATTTTTTGTCAAACGCCAAGCTGAAAGCATTGCATCCATGTGTGCACGTAATGTAGCGATTGTATGAACAACACCCTAGCTATTTTCCTATGTATTATACGAAAAGAATAATAATACAATTTACTTTTGGTTTGCCAGTTGTTCCAGATGTATATAAAATAAGAGCATCATCGGAATTTTTAGAAAAAATATCGAATTGTTGTTGATTAGATAATTGAATATTTTGTTTTGTTTTACCTAATTCAATATCATTATGTGTAATTATAATTAATGGTATTTTAAATTTATCAGCAAGTGGTCGAAGTAATTTTTCATATTCAGGTGATACAATTAAATGTGAACATTTAGCATCATCAATATAATAATCAAGTAATGATTGTGGATGATCTTTACAAAGTGGAATACACATTGCACGTGAAAGCCAACATGTCCATTGAGCAACAACAAATGATGCATCTGGATTGCAAAGAAAAGCAATACGTTTATGAGCAGATTTCTGTTTATCATCAGTTACAGAAAGAAGTTTATCACGTAATTGAACACTAGCTGAAAGAAGATGTGAATATGAATATTGACCATTAGAATCAATCACAGCAATTTTATTAGGATTATCAAGTACTGAACGATAAACAGTACGATAAAATAATGAGAAAAGATTTCTTTGATTGAAAAAACGAAGTAAAGGTTGTCGTAACATTAAAAAATATTTTAATAAATAAAACCAAGGAATAGATATCTAAAATGTTACTGATAACTATACTTTGAATAGATTTGCAAAAACATTTTTATTGGCTATTTCTTCGGAACCAATCCTGGTATTGGCATCCGCAGTCAGCAGATGGAGTCAAAAGAATAAAAAGTATGACTTAGACATTTAATTGTGTTGTTATTTTTCATGTTCCGAATAACTATATACGTATTTAATCCTTTGAGTCCCATAGTAGCAAAAAAGCTACATATGTTTTATAATTATTTTTCACAACATAATTTATAAAAACTACTATGTAATCTACTGGAATGAAGCAATAAAGAATGTTCTAGGATGTGGTGCGTATCGGGTAGAACCCATCGAGTCCTACTCGGATCCGATTCGGTCCTGGTCCGGGTCCGGAAATTTTTGGACTCGATGGACTCTAGGTCGGGTATGCGGGTGGATATGGATATGTAAAATTAGTTCATTTTGTTTATTTGTTCCGCAATGTCATTTTAAGAAGGATGTAGCTGAGGACATGGCTAACGTGAAGACCTACACCCATACTCTTATTCATCAGTTGCCTTGTGGAACATCGATCAATGCCATATTTCACTGTGATGAATGTTTAAAGTTTTCTCAAACAGTTACACAAGAAAACGATCACTGTCAATAACAAATGACATTAGGCTGCATTATAATATAATGCAAGATTATTTATAAATGAGATTATTTTCAATTATTTTTAAGAAAAACTCAACATAATGAATCATTCATTTACTCATTCGATCAGCTCTTTCAGACTTTTGATAGTTCGATTGTCTTAAATATAAACTTGATACATGTCCAGATATTATATTTTAAACCAAAGCAATAACCAAGGAGCTCAATTCAATTTCTATTCACGAATAGCAAAAGACATTTCAGAAGTAAATTTAATGAATAAAATTTTTTATTGAACAGAATGAAGACTAAATCGAATACTTACTGTAAAAAGATTAGCAAAATATTTTTTCTAGGAATAAATATTTGAAAGTGCGAGAATTTTTTAAGTACCCTATATGTAGATATGATTACTTCTGAATGATAAATTCTCAAAAATATATTTTTATTTCTAAGAAGTAAATGATGATTTTATATAAGCAAAGCTTCTTGTTAGTATTGTTGTTGTGAAGTCTTTTATTTAAAATATGATTGAAATTTTTTACCATAAGACATGCCTCTCATTATAGAATGCAAGTAGTATTACGGACATGGTTGACTGCAATCAGTATTTTTTGGTAGATCAAAAAGATGAGGATCTTGTGGAGCGATTTCCCATGCATCATAATCAGTAAATTGGCGAGGTGTTTTAAAATTAGGTCCCGAATAACGAACACCATTTCTAGGTTCATCAACTTCACTCCAATATTCATGTTCCCAAGAATACCAATGATCAACAGTCCTGCCATGTATTTGTTCTATTCCAAGCCATGTAGCACCCTTAAGCCAATCTCGAGGTACACCGAAATTTCCTGGCATAGCTATGCAACAAAGATTACGAGCAATAATGTAGACATCTTGAGTAATTAATATAGTGCAACTCGATTCATTCAATGCCCAACCATAACAATAACCAAAATGATCATGTCGTTCATTACCTTGCCAACGTCCGCTAGCTGTTTTATTTGTATATGCATAGTAAAAAAGACTACGATGAGCATGTGGTTGATTATTTTCATCAAAAGCAGTTATTATTGCTTGTGTTCTAAAAACACAATAAAGATTAATTCATTATATCTTTTATATGAATAATAAATTTTACCGGAATCCATCTGGCCATAACGGACGTGAAGGAGGCGTTTCACGTTCGCATACAGCGAATGTCACTAACGCAAGAAGTATTATAACTTTTAGCATATGTGATATTTTAGTTGTGTGCTCTTCCAATGTTAATTGCTTTCTCTTTTAAAGTAGAAAACTTTTTATTATTTCCACTATCTCACGTTGGCGTTATATTCATGAGAATCTGATCAGCTGTCTTGAATATTTCGACAAGTAAGGATTTCGTTGCAAATTTTCATGTCATATTCGTTTTTGTGTTGTAGTATATATTTTCTTATTTAAAATGCAAAAGAAAATAAAAATGAACGAAAAAATTGTGAATAATTTATCAAGAAAAAAGTTTATTTTAAAAAATTAATAATATACAAGAAGTCTCATCACAATAGATGTCAGGAGATTACTGATGAAAAACTTCAAAATAATATGATTGGAGAGATTGTATATACATATTCTTATTCTTGGTCATTATGTACACTCCATGAAATATTTCGTATATATTTCTAATACAGTCCAGTTAAATTTATTTTTCTGATATTGTTTACAATTCTATACAATAGAACGTAAGTAGATAGGTTTTTTTTTTTATAAAGCCTCGATAGACTGAAAGCATGTTTTTCTTGTACATGAATATCTCAAATGTATTTCTTTAATAAGAAATAATAGTTTTTTATTTTTTTCAAGATGAAACGTGGAACTTTAATACTTGAAGATGGTTCTAAATTCAATGGTTTTGTATTTGGAGCTTCAACTAATACTTCTGGTGAAGTCGGTAAGATTCTATTATTTAATCTCTTTGCTTTTTTTTCTATTTATTTCTATTTAGTATTTCAAACTGGTATGGTCGGTTATATTGAATCATTAACTGATCCATCGTATTGTGGAGAAATTTTGGTTCTTACTTTTCCACTTATTGGCAATTATGGTTTGATATTTAGTATTTGAATATTATTTATTTTATACTTAATATTTTCTTCAGGTGTACCCGATGAAAAAGCTGTCGATGATTTTGGTCTACTTCAATGGGTTGAATCGAATAAAATCTATGCATCTGCATTAATTGTTAGTGCTTATACAGAACAATATAGTCATTGGAATGCTGTTGAATCTCTTTCATCATGGTTAAAAAAACATAATATTCCTGGTCTTTATGGTTAGTTTTCTTTTTATTGTTTTTTTTTAATTACGTAATAGAAATTATATTGATTTTAGGTATTGATACACGTATGTTAACAAAAAAACTTCGTGAACATGGAACAATGCTTGGAAAAGTATAATTATCTTGTTTTTTTCTTTTTACTTTTTATTAAATTAAATATGAATAGATTGTTATGGAAGGAGTTGATCCAAAAACAATTCCATTTCAAGATCAGAATAAAGCTAATCTTATGATACAAGTTTCAATTCCAGTAAATAAACTCTTATATATTTTTTCATTATTTTTTTTTTGTTGTTAACTTCTTAGAAACCACGTGTCTTTAATCCAACAGGCAAACTATCGATTGCTTGTATTGATTGTGGTCTTAAAAATAATCAATTAAGAATTTTATGTCAACTTGGTGCAAAAGTAACTGTTTTTCCTTGGAATCATCCTGTTAAACAAGATGGTATTTTATTTCAAAAAAAAATAAAAAAATAAAAAATTCTACATATTTTTTTTAAAGAATTTGATGGTCTATTTTTGAGTAATGGTCCTGGTGATCCACAAACACAATGTCCAGAAACTATTGCAACAATTGCATCATGGATTAACAGTAAAACTATTAAACCAGTATTTGGTATTTGTCTTGGTCATCAGGTAAAAATTTCAAAATCAATGTGTTTTATTTATCTATTAAATGAATTGATTTTATTTGTTGTTTTTTTTTTTATAAAGTTAATGGCATTAGCTGCTGGAATGAAAACAGCAAAACTTAAATATGGAAATCGTGGTCATAATCAAGTATGTCTTTTATAATAATTTTTACATTGATAACAATAATTATTTTGATATTTTAAGCCATGTTTATTGGAAGGAACTCATCGTTGTTTTATAACATCACAAAATCATGGTTTTGCTGTTCAAACATTCGAAGGTTTACCTCAAGATTGGAGTATTTTATTTACAAATCAAAATGATCAATCAAATGAAGGAATTGTTCATGATATTAAACCATTCTTTAGTGTTCAATTTCATCCTGAACATTGTGCTGGACCACGTGATACAGAAAATTTATTTCAAATATTTCTTGATGTTGTTCAATCATATAAATTAAGGAAACCAATGAATGTGAAATCATATTTAAAAGAACAATTAACTAGTCGTTTTAGTGGTGTTAGTGCTCCACCAGAATCATTCTGTGAGCGTGTGAACAAAGTATTGATTTTGGGTAGTGGTGGTTTGATTATTGGACAAGCTGGAGAATTTGATTATTCTGGTATAAGAATAAATTTTTTGTTTTTGTATGTTATTTTAATTATTTCTTTTCTCTTTTTTTAAGGAACACAAGCAATAAAATCAATGAATGAAGAAAATGTGTATACTATATTAATTAATCCAAATATAGCAACAGTTCAAACATCAAAAGGTCTTGCTAATAAAGTATTCTTTTTACCAATAACACCAGCTTATGTTGAACAAGTTATTCGTAATGAACGTCCCAATGGTATTTTACTTAGTTTTGGTGGACAAACAGCATTAAATTGTGGTATTCAATTACATGAATCGGGTATTCTTAAAAAATATGCATGCAATGTATTAGGGTAAGAAAAAATATTTTCATATTTAAATCATAGATTTTCTTTTTTTTTCTAATATGAATAGAACACCAATTAAATCCATACAAGTTACTGAAGATCGATCTTTATTTGCACAAAAGATGGCTGATATTGGTGAAAAAGTTGCACCATGTGAAGCTGTTAATTCTCTTGAAGAGGTTTGATAAAAAAAAAAGAAAAATTTTCAAATATTATCATTAATCATATATTATTTTAGGCATTAGTATCAGCTGAACGACTTGGTTATCCAGTTCTTGTTCGGTACATAGATCTTCTAGATAAATTCTTTTTTTTTCTAAATAATTCTTCTATATAGAGCGGCTTTTGCACTTGGTGGTCTTGGTTCAGGTTTTGCTGAAAATCGTGAAGAATTAATTCCTTTAGTTACATCAGCATTAGCACATTCATCTCAATTACTAATTGATAAA